TACAAGATCCTCCCAAATAATAGATCCACCATGAATTAGACCCGGGCACGAACCACAAAATCTATATTAATCAAATACGGCTTTTTTTAAATAGTTAGACTGCCTATTGTAAATACAAAGTGTGTATGCACTCTAAAGTTTTCCCTTTCATGATATAACCTCTCAGCGTGTACTAGACTCGGGGTCTACTATATGGTTTAAAAATTGGTGGAATGTAACAGACCCGGATCTTGTATACGGCACTTTATGGTACTATATTTTTTTGCATACTTTATATATTTTTTTTCATAATTGTGCAATACTTTCGGAAGTAATTGTAGCATCAGAAAATTTGGTTTTAACATATTAAATAATTTTAGGAATATCAAATTTTTAATGCTATGGCACATATTACTGTATTCTTATAGCATGACTTAATGGTTGGGTTCAAAAAATCATATTATAATCTGGAAAGTTTATTAATTCGAATGTTTAATGAGAAGACGGAAAAAATTAAATAAATAATCATAAGGGAGAGTCGGGTATTCTCGCGCGAGTGGGTAATATGGCGCACTTAGGTTTTAGCTATATCCCGTTAAACAGCACTCTGAATATTATATTAGTATCGTCTCATTGAGACGATTCAAATTATATACAAAATAAATGAAGGTCAAATACTATGGTCCACATATTATTCACGTGTTCAAATTTTCTTTTTACCATGTATTGGACAATATCTGGAAGGGATGCGTACAATAATGCGCCCAGCCTGGAAAAACAGCAGTTTTTTAAATAGATTTTAAAAGTTTTAATTTCGAAGTATTTTTTTTTATTCAATTTTTTTTTATTATTCGATAGTAAATCGAATGCTATTTTATTTCGCTAAATTTTGTAATAAAATACGCTTTTTCTAAAAATTTTTATATGTGCAACTCTTAAGTGCGCGACTCTTCCTCATATAGGGTTGGGTAATTAAATTTTACACAAGTTATTTTAACTGACGTAAATTTAATTTAACTCACGTAACCTACATGTAACTTACGTAAGTTAAGAATTTTATTTACTCGCTCATAATTTGTGTCCTATATCGGAAAAAACCGTAACTTTAAATTACCAAAAAAATTTAGTCTTAATGCTAGCCAAGTTCTGGCAGCATTAAATCTATATATTTGTAACTTACATAAGAGTCATGTAACTTACAATGTAATTTATAATGTAAGTTACGTTATCAGTTAAGTTATTCCAACCCTCATATTCTACACGTATGGCATAAATAAATTTATATCAAGGTATAGCATACAGTATACACGAGTTACGGCATATAAAGTTATGTAAAAATTTGGTTTTTTAAGATAAGGTGATTATTTCAAACGTATTAAAAATTCATATCTTCTTGTGAAAGGATTATTTCAATGCATTACCAAAAAAAAAAAACTTGTGAACAGACTAAATAGAAGCCAAAGAATATTAATAAGGCACAAATTCATAACTTATGTGCAATGATATATGTGTCGATATATCGTATATGATATATATTTGGTGGACATTTTTTTAGATAAATGAAAGAATCTTTTATTTTTGTCGAAGTGATATGTAATGTAAAGATAATAGTAATATAGTGTGATATAATAATATGCACTCGCTTAAAAGAAGAAATTTTTTTCGAAGAGTCAATGGTGAAAATAGAAATCATAAGGAGAGGAATTTTTGACTTATTATTATTATTATTATTCTAGAATATATGAGTGCTGTCAAGGGAAAAAAGGCCGTTCGGGCTTTCAATTATATTTTGCGTACAGATGGAAAATCTATTATTATGATAGATTTTCCATAGACGGCTAACTGTACGCAAAATATAATTGAAAGTCCGAATGGCCTTTTTCCCTTGGCAGCACTCATATATAATACCTATTTTTTACAATGCACAGGGCGCACATGGAAAGACAAAATTTCTCTTGAAAGCAACACAATAGAAAAGATCTTTCCCATCAATCTCGTTAATATAAAAATAGAAATAAAGTGATTTGCTAATCAATTAACCAAAACTTAATGTTACAGCAATAGTCCAATAATCTTCTGGCAAGAACAATTTCTGATCGTAACTTGATATGATATTTGAAGTTACGTTTATATTAGGTAATGTGTCAATGGAGGAGGAAGTATACAGTATATCAATGGAAAAGGAATGTCAATGGAGGAAGTGTTGATAGATGATAAAACTGTGGAAAACAAAATGTCCCAATACGATCAAAGATAAGGTGAAAGTTGCGGTCATTGATACAGTATAATGGAGAGCTATTAGTTATAATCCACCACATACATAAAAATAAAGTGCATACATAAAACTAGTTTGATGTTCAAAAGAAAAATCAAAAAAAAGTTTTTTTAGAAAAAAAATTCCTAATTTTTGCATATTAAAAGGAAGATCCTGAAAAAATAACGGTCGAAAATTGAAGAATTGTTTGATTTTCAGTTCTTTGTGCTTTAATAAACGGATCTGTACCTTTAACTAAATTTTCATATTTTTGGTCAGCAGTATAGTTATCAAAGGATAGATTTACAAGAATATTAGCATTGGCGTTGGCATTTTGGGGTATTAAAGGTTGACCAATTACTTGATTTATAGGTTGATTCATAATAATAATTTTAAATTTTCTTGGAGCTTTCCTTTAAAGAAGACAGAAGTAGAAGATCTTGGGCTTTACAGACATGTAATCATGTAATAATCATATAAAGTAATCGTTGCCATTTATATATAAAATACAGTTAATTTATGGACCAAGTTATTATTAAAGTCTTAGAATTAATTTTTCATGTAATTCGTCGCTTGTGTTTTTTTAAATTAGCAATTCTGTTTATAAATATTTGCTATTACATATTTACTTAATTTATTCTTTCGCACTAATTTTAATTTGATTAATATAAAGATAATTTACACATTCAAATTTTTAGTATTATTTTCTATATAATTAATATATTTGTTTAAAATTGTCAAATTACTATGGGTCGGATCATGTCACTATTCATTCTAATGCGCTATAAAGATGAAAAAAATAAAATTATCAATACTGTATACACATTTAAAATCTGCCATACCCGTACTTAATTTTTAATATTGATATATTTCCAAATTTATAATGATAAATATTATTTATTATTAAATTAGACATCATGTTTATAAATATTTACTCAAGGCTGTAATCAGCAATTCAGATTCAATAAACCATTTATACCATCACATTAACCTTTGAATAAACATTAATATTTGTTAATCTGTATTTTATCTTATTAACATTTAAAAACTGCATGTGGTGATTTATATGTAAACGATAAGATTAGTTATTAACGGTAGATATGTATATTCTGAATTAATTTCTTTAACTTCAGTTCTTTATAATATATTTTTTTATCAAATTTATCTAATTAAAAAAAATTACGTTATTGAATCATGAGCTAAGCTATTAAAATTTAAAGCATATATTTAAAATTAATTTTACATATACTATATAGATATCAATATATATATATTTATATATCGAAGATTTTAGTGATACCGATAATACTCATGGCTAAACTATTTATCTACGTTGTGTATGAAGCTTGGACTAAATCGTAAAAACCATAAAGTTTTAAAGATTCATATATTTAATTATTATATATTTCATCAATATTAGCATTTAATTTTAAACCGATCGGTGTTTTCCCTATTCTTGTGTGACTTGCGAGTATGAAATATTTTATTCATTATCGAATATATTATACGATCATATGAGTGAATATATGATATATAATACAGTTCTACATTTTAAATCAGTAGTTAGTAATTTAACAAGAAAGGAATTGGCCAAAAAATAAATAATAAATAAAACTTTTAATTGAAAATTGACCAATAATCAAGTTAAACACATATAACGAGCACGTGTATTATGAAAGACGCAGGATATCTCCAACATTTTCTAGTCTAGAAAGTTTTTATTTTATGTTAAATGATTTTGTGATTATTTCTGCAGAATTCAGTGTTAAGAATTCAATAGGTGAGAAATAGCAAGAGAAATGATTGGAAAATCTATTTCGTTTCATATGTACGTACATTAATGAAACATTAATAAAGGTTTGATCTTTTTTCTTAAAAACCTTTCTTTAAAAAGATTTAAGGAATTGAGAATTCTTAAATAACGTGCTAGACTTATACAGTACAGACATTGCTGGCATTTGACTATGCATGTATCGAATATAATATTTATACAATAAATTTAGTGTTTGTAGTCGATAGCACATTAGTCGACTTAGTCGGCTAAGCCAATCAATTTTTTCAAAAATCAGCTTAATCGAATCCACTTAGATTAGAACGGGATAATTATACTAAAAATCCCAATCCTAGCCTTAAAAATTCCGAATCAACTTAAATTCTGCTCCCACTTACGACATACATATATATTATAGATTTATATTAAATTAATTAATACAAATTAATAAACTCTTTAATGCTCGTGGACAGTGTTGAAAATTCGGCACATGAAATGTTATTCTATTTTTTGTGCAATTTGCACAGCCCATTGTTAATTTTGTGCAAATAACAATACATGCACAACGAATTTGTTAAGCGCGGGTAATACAAACCTCTAAAAGGAAATGGCCAATCAGAGAACAGAAATAGAATCCGAACACGTGCGAAAGAAGAAAAAAAAGAAAAGAAAGCGAAGATAAAAAAACTAGTGTTTAAATCGATCTTGGCGGACTAATAAAAAATAACAGTGATGAAATTTTACATATGAGAAACTCCAACTTATCACCGAAGCTCAACTTCTATTTTTACGCATTTTCCTTCTTTGGTAAAGTCCGTTAAAATTTTGAGTCAAATAATGCAATTTTCAAAATAGTGAAAATTTCAAAATAATGCGTTATTACGCGCAAATACGGTAAGTATCAAGTTATTTGAAATAAGTCAACCAAAATTTGTGGTTATTTATTGTCATTGTATATTGTTAGGTTTGAAAACGGCGAGTCTGTCGCTAGAAGACCAGAATTCTCGCGCTACGTCAATTTCAAGGCTTGAATAGAGGCG